CACCCGCTGCGGCACTCCAGCATCCTCTCCTGGCCGGTGGTGGTAGCCATCGGGAGGCTGGTGCTGGTGCGTGGGGTTCTCCTGGTGAGTCCCACCTGCTTCCTCCTCCTCAGGGTGCCCTTCTGTCAGCATTACATCATCCCCCACTCCTACTGCGAGCACATGGCCGTGGTGAAGCTGGCATGTGGGGATACCAGAGTCAATGCCATTTATGGCCTCTTTGTGGCTTTAGTAGTGATAGGATCTGACACAATCATCATCTCTGTGTCCTACGCCATGATCCTGCTGGTGGTCATGAGGCTGCCATCCACAGAGGCACGACTCAAGGCCTTCAGCACTTGTGCATCCCATGTCTGTGTCATCCTTGTCTTCTACACCCCTGCCATCTTCAGCTTCTTCACCCACCGGTTTGGGCACAGCATCCCTCCCCGTGTCCATATAATGGTGGCCAATCTCTACCTGCTGGTCCCCCCCATGTTAAACCCCATTGTTTATGGGGTGAAAACCAAGAAGCTCTACGATAGGGTGGTCATCCTCTTCCAGCGCAAGGGAAGCTGAAACATGTTAATGTGCCTCAAACTGTGCTCATCATTTACTGATGATGTTGGTAAATTTAACGAAAGTTAACGCTGTGCCTATTTGTTCATGGAGGAAACCGTCCTCTCTACCTGCACTTTAAGCAATGCATTCATGCAGAAATTGCCTGGTTGTCTCCTCTGTTACCGCTGTCCGGGGAGTTTCATCCATGGTGTGATGAAACTTGGGATAAAGACATTTAGTCTGGCTTCTGCACCACTGGGAGATGGAGAATTCACCCCACCCAGAAGGCAGATTCCTCACTGTTAGAAGTCTGTCACTATTAAAAAAAAAAAATTCCTCTCATGATTAAAAGATTTACACTGTAAGGCTGAGTATCTCCAGCAGATATTCCTGAAGTGACTTTCCTTGGATGAAGAGTGTTTGCTGGACTGTGTGGTGGGATGGTGATCAGATGGGAATGGTGACTGTCCTTGTAGAAGGAAATGAGCAGAATTCAATTTTAAGCCTCAACATTTTTTTTTTCTAAGGAAGACAAAACCTGAAATAATCCCTTGCTAACAAATTCTAAAGGTGCTCTCTAAACATAAACCCTTCAAAAAATATCAGAAATCCTCACTGATGCAACGATTTGGAGTGACCTATCAGAGGCAGAGCGTTGCTAACAGGTTGCACCACACTGGCATAAGTTGACTATCCCTATATACAGGCAAATATGTTTTACCAAATCACTGCTCTGTAGCCATGACATGTAGGAAGCAGAATGAGGCGATGGTCACACAACCCAAATTCAAGTTACGAAACTCAAGCCCCTTACGGACCTTTGCTCTTTTTAGTGCAAACCGAGAGCACCGAGGGATGGAGAGGAGATCTCTGGCCTGGCCTGGCATTTCTTGGAGCTCTCTGTCTTCCTGAGCAGCCCTGACCATGGTGGCCGCCCACGAGGAGCCTCCGTGCTCTGCTGCCTCTCCCTGAGGTGGGTGCCCCTGGGGAAGCAGGAGGGGCCCCAGGAAGAGAACATGCACTTCTGCTGAAGCACAGCAGGTGGTAGGCTGCAGGCAAAAGGGGAAGGAGTAATTTTTTCCTCCCTTTTGGGAGAATCCTTAAATTTCAACTCAGTTCATCCGTCTTCTTTAGATAAACCAGAAGCAGCATTTCATGGGCCAGAGAAGAGAGTCAGGAGAAGCCAAGGGCGCAGAGGTGTGATGCAGTTTGCCTAAGAGCCAGTCTCAGAGCGCCCACTTCATAAAGCAGGGGTGCACCAGTGCTCGTGGACTCATGCTCACCCACCACCGCTATGGTGAGACAGAAACCCCATTTTTCTGCAGGCTCTACAAAAAAAGGTCACTGTGTTCATTTTCTTGAAGGTCAAAAGTGCTGCCCTCATGACTGATGTCATAGAATCATAGATTCATAGAATCGCGGACCTTCAAGACCATCCAGTTCCAACCCCCCTGCCATGGGCAGGGACACCCTCCACTACACCAGGTTGCCCAAAGCCTCATCCAACCTGGCCTGGAACACTGCCAGGGATGGGGCAGCCACAGCTTCTCTGGGCAACCTGTGCCAGTGCCTCACCACCCTCAGAGGGAAGAATTTCTTCCTTATATCTTTGAATATTACTCAACTTTCTTGGGCCCCTCTTCTCTCCAGGGCTTTATCCCACGGTACTCTGCCAAGCAGATCCCTGAAGAGGCCAAAGTCTGCTCTCCTTGTTGGTAGGCTGTATGCCGTATTTATCCATGTGCCTATTGTTTCAGCCCTTTATTAGGTCTTCTGCACCTTTTCCCACACAGGTACCATGTTCGTCACTGTGCAGATCCCTTCATCTCTCCATGAAAGCCTTTTAGTGTGTCCTACATCAATGTGATAACCTGTCCTTGCAGGGGGTGCTTGTACACGTGACAGTGCAGAAAATGGGGAAACTCTCTCCTATTGCTGTCGTCCTGCCCATCTCCTTGGGCTTGATGGGATGGGTGGGTGGTTGGGTGCACCCGCTTTCACTGCATCCAGCTGATTTGCCTTGTGCAACCTATCGCCAGAGTCTGGGATGAAGTTGCTTTGGATGCTTCTTCCCTGGGGTCAGATTTGGGTGAGCAGCTGGTGGGTAACTGCTTTAGGGCGTGCTGAGTGCCTCCGGGCACCCCAGGGTCTGCGTGAGCCGGGAGCTCGATGCGCTCGTCTACGCGTCATTGCTTAGTGCCACTGGAGACCACAGACCTCATCGGAGATGCCTGATGGTGTCCCCCGTGGCTTCCCACTGCTTCACAGGGCTGTGTGTGTTCTCATGATGGCAATGCCAGTCACAGGCAAAAAGCAAACACACTTTATATATAATGCCAGGAATTAATTGTCGATGTAATTGGAAACAGTCTAACACAGGGATCATTGTTAGACCAGATCTGGTTAATACAGGGAAAAAAAAGATAATTAAATTAATATTTCTTTACATAAAAAGAATTATTATTAGTGTTGTTATTATTATTCACACATTTCCTATTTTCTGTCTCTTCCCTGGGATGATGCTCATGCTTTCACTGCTCCTCTGGGTCCTAAGGTTGGTGACTTCAGTTTGGTGGCGGTGGTGGATGTTACATCAAGTCATCAAAACCTAGAGTCCTTCACAGGGAGTATGATATTGACATTCATGTTTTCTCCTTCCTCACTCTAGGGTCCACTTCGTGTCTTTTTTGTTTGAGAACATGCTTCTACACCTTGGTTTCTCTTCATTGGTCTGCAAGTCCATGATACATGCAGGTTTCCTAAATATGGTGCATTTTATGCATGTTAGAGACTCGTTCTTTGCTCTCTTTGTCGCTCCAAAATCCTTTTTGTCCAGCTCCGAGCCTCCATTTCTTTAACTGACCATTCCTGAGTTGTTTATAGCCATGAGGTCTCCAGTGCCAGCCTGTGCTCCACCTCTTATCGCCTTTTGCCCGCACTCCTCCGTGCCGCATCCTCTGTCCCTGCTTCCCCAGGCCCCTGCCCTCCTGACACACCTCTCTTTCTCAGCACTGCGCCGTTGTGTCACAGTCATAACTATCTCATTCGGCACAGAGTAGCTATTTTTTACTGCCCTCTGCATAAAACCGAAATGATGGGTGCACCATGCAACGGGGAGCAAAAAGCCATAGTCACCTCCTTAGAATAAAAACTGTAATTACTGCTAAGTCTGGTAAAAAAGAAGCTCCAGGCAGGTCAGGGCAAGTTCAGAGAAAGAAAACCCGGCATGCCTCAGTCCTGAGACCTTGCAAACTCAGTACGAAGCCCACGGCCTGTAACCAGCAGTGGCCACGCCGTGGTGCTGGCCTATGGGGTCAGTGTGCAGGACCAGTGTCACAGCTGCCTGGCCAGGTGGACCAAGGACATAGAATCATAGAATGGTTTGGGTTGGAAGGGACCTCAAAGATCATCTAGTTCCAACCCCCCTGCCATGGGCAGGGACACCCTCCACTACACCAGGTTGCCCAAAGCCCCATCCAACCTGGCCTGGAACACTTCCAGGGATGGGGCATCCACATCTCGTATGGGACTCAGTGCCAAGTGGGGAGCAACCAAGCTGAGCTCAGGGTCAGCACTGGCTGCTGGGGGCAGGTGAGGACCCTTGCAGAGGGACACCTACCACCAGCACAAGCAGATGCCTCCAAAGAGGCACCCGTGTTTAACCATCTCATGGTGGAGCTGGATCTCAGTCCTGGAGCCCTTCAGAAGTGAATCAGCACTTGGCTACAAGAAGAGCAGAGATAACCCCGGGTCCCTCAGAGAACGTCTAATGTTTTCTTCCTTTCCCCGAAAAAATTGGTTAAAACGCCCTTTAAAGATGAGTGTAAACAAGGGATTTCTTTGGGCACATAGAAGGAAAAGGAAAAAAGGTTGATGTATTTCACGTTGGACAAATATAGTTGCTTCAGACTTTTCATTTCATACACCTGATTGTTCCATCCATCAAAAGTTCTTGTTGTCTAAAAAATGTAGGATTTCGAAGGCGGTTGTTCAAACTGAAATGGGAGATGGCACAACACAGCTCTCGGGTCCCTCAGCCTGGGGCGGGGAAGGAGAAGTCTTTGTGCCCGGAGCACCGGGTCTGTGTGTGTGGGTAGCTCAGGGGAGAAAAGGAGTTATCTCTGCTGCTCGAAGGGATGCTGGGCACTCCGGTACTTTCAGGTGAGGAGGTGGTGCTGGAGAAATGGCAGATTCAGGTAGAGAGACCCCAAAGACTGATTTGTTCTGCTGCTGCTCTGCAATAAAAAACTCAGTTATTTATTTTACTGGGTAACACACTCACGCTCTCGGCTCGCTTCAGCGTTGGGAAGAGAAACTGCCTGGGTTTGATAAAGTGCTTTAATATCCCTGGATGAAGAGGCTCTACATAGAGGAGTAAGTAACCTGGAGCCAAGAAAGAACTGAAACCTGGGAATAGAAAGCTGGGAAGGAGCAAAAAGGAAATGGCAATGAGAGAGATGCGAATGAAGGCAGAGAAAAAAAGGCAGAGAAATAAAATTAATTTTTATTTCTTAAAAATAAAAGCTCCTCCCTGACAGTGGAGTGTCTCAGAAACCTCAAGGACTTCGCACAGGGGTTATGGGCACCTTGCCTTAGACCCGGCGGGTGCACGGGGGTGGCAGACCAAGGCCATCGCTCCGTGCTTTGCGGAGGGGGCTGCCCGCCGTAGCCCGGGGCACGGTTCTGCATCTTCCTTGCGGAGGAGCTGTGGAATTGGGGGTCTCCCCAGGAAAGGTGACTGGGATGTGAATGGGGCCACTTTCTGCACTCCGTTCCCCTCGCAGCATCCCGACTCCTGCTATTGTTTTAGGAGTGACACCAGAGGTCACGTCGCCGACTGCTCCCGGGAATATGTGTTTATGGATCCGTTACGCGTTAATTCCGTAACCGCTGTCGGAACTCCCCGCTGCTGTCCTCCAAGCTCCAGAAACTGCTCTGTCAAAGAAGCATTTTTCTCTGTGCCAAACTCTTGTCCTACCAGTTTCAGGCAGTTTTGGTACTGGTGAGTGACTGCTGTG